GACAATAAACACATGAAAAGATGCTCAGCATCTGTATCATTAGGGAAATGCAAATCCAAACCACAATGTGATACCACTTCACATCATTAGGATGACTATTTAAAAAAAAACAAACAGAAAACAAGTGTTGGCACAAATGTGGAGAAATTGGAATGCTTGTCCAATGCTGGTAGGAATGTAAAACAATGCAGTGCCTGTGGAAAACATCATGAGGGTTTCTCAAAAAATTAAACATAGAATTACAATTCCACTTCTGGGTATATACACAAAATAACTGAAAGTAGGAACTCAGATATTTACACACCAATGTTCATAACAATTGAACATTGTTCATAACAAGTATGTTCATAACAATATTATTCACACTAGCCAAAAGGCAGAAACAGCCCAAGTAACTATCCATGGATGAATGGATAAACAAAATATAGTACATACATACAATGGGATATCATTCAGTCTTAAAAGGAATGAAATCTGACACATGACACAACATAAATGAACCTTGCACTTTATGCTAAGTGAAATAAGCCAGACATAAAAAAGACAAATATTGTATGATTCCAGGTATATGAGGTACCTAGAGTAGTCAAACTCAGAGACAGAAAGTAGGAGACTGGTTACCAGGGACTGGAGAGAGAAGAGAATGGGAAGTTATTATTTAAGGGGTTCAGAGTTTCAGTGTGGGATGATGAAAAAGTTCTGGACATTGACAGTGGAGATGCTTGCAAAACAGTGTGACCGTACATAATGCCACTGACTTTGTAAAGTCTTTGGAATCTTTGGAAAACTAGTAGACATTTTTACTAAAGTTGAACATATACCTACCCCATTTTCTATCACATCCATTCCTAGATGTATACCCAACAGAAATGTTGACATAGTATCATCAAAAGACAAGTATAAAATTGTCCATGGCTCCACTATTTATAATAGCTAACACCCAAAAATAACCCAAATATCTATCCACAAGATAAATACATTTTGGTACGATTATCAATGGAATTCTATATAGTTATAAGAAGAAACAAGCTAAAATATGTGGCAATATGGATGAATCTCACAAACATAATCTTGAGAAAAAGATATCAGACACAAAAGAGTACATATTGTACGATTCTATTTACATCAAATTCAAAAACAGACCAAAGTAACATATGTGTTAGAAGAACGAGTAGTAGTTATCTTTTGGAGGGAGGTCATGACTGTAAGGGGGATGAGAGAGCTTCTGAGTTGTTGGCATATTACAAGGTTTGGGGAGCTGGTTACAGGAGTACGTTCACTTTATTAAAATTTACTGAGCTACATGCTTATACTCTATATACATGTTAAACTTCAATGAAATATTACTTTAAAAATAAAATAAAGAAGAATGGGGAAAAAAGGAATTGAGGATATCCACTACCAGGAAGGGTGTACTAGGTCCAAACCCCCTAATGAGGAAAACAAGAGGAAATGAGCAAGTTTTTCTTTAACTGCAAGAAGGCATCATAAAGACTTCCAGTTTCTGGTCCAACAAGTAAAGATCCTGGAAGTTGTCACTCCCATCCTCACAACAAGAAAAAAACTGAAAAGCTGAAAGCTGTTGAAATGCAACAACTCTTCTTTATCCCTCACAGAATTAAGGTCACAGGGAAAACTACTCCCCCAAAAACTGGAGAGAGACAGAGACAGCCAGTATAACTATGTGTCAACTTGAGCAGGCCACAGGGGCCCAGACACTGGTCAAACGTCATTCTGGGTGTGTCTGGAGGGTGTTTCTGGATAAGACTAACATTTGAATCTGTAGACGAGTAAAGCAGGTTGCCCTCCCTCACGTGAGTGGGGCTCATCCAGACAGTTGAAGAGCTGAACAGAACAAAAGGGCTGAGTAAGAGGGGACTCCTCCTGCCTGACTGTGAGCTGGGACATCGGCCTTTTCCTGCTTCAGACTCAAACTAAAGCTTCGGCTCTTCTTGGGTCTCCAGCTTGCCCGCTCTTGGACTGGAATTTACACCCTTGGTAGGAACATTTAAACTGTGATGAACTGCTAGAGGCTCAGTATAGACTGGTTTGAGAGTTAAAAACTCTGAAGGATGGGGCAGTCTTGTGGGGAACCCCCACACTTTTATGGATTTTACCTTCAGAAGCCCTACCAGGTTCTCACAGTGAAGAGCTAAGTGAAATGCCCCCCTGCTTCCTGCTGGGCAGGGAAAAGCAGCCATTTTAAAATAAGTCCAGAGCATTCTGTTCTCCTCAACAAAACCCTGCCCTCAAGGGAAAATATTTTGCCAGAGCCTAACCACCCTGGGGAAAGGGAAATACCTCTCTAGGCAGCCACATGGAGAAAGGGAAATATCCAAATCTAGCACACTCCAGCCTTCAACATGGGGATGGGAAATACCCAGCTCAGACTCACAGAAAGACTGAGACTTCATCATAGGACTGAAGCATGCTTACCCTCACCCCATACCTTGCCACCACATTAATAAGTCTCCTGGATAATAAAAGCAGATTATAGCTAAAGGAACTATAACACTCAGACCCTACTGATGAAGGAATCTCCAGGAAAAATGAAAGACAACAGGGGAGACAAAAACAAGACACAAGAGGAAATTCTAACCTCTGAAACCACTTACAGCCAACAGTAAACACAGAGTAACTGCTGGCCAGGTAAACAGAAAACTCCACACTAGAGGCCTCTGTACCTCAGTTCCTTTTACCCAAGATCATGTCCAGCTTTCAACAAAAAATTATAAGGCATGCAAAAAACAGGAAACACAGTCCAGAGGGACAATTGAAAGCAAGAATGAGAACCACACTCATATACGGCAGATATTCTGGAATTATTAGACTGGGAATTTAAAACAAATGTGGCTACTACGCTAAAGGAAAAAGCGGACAACAGGAAGAACAGATAGGTACTATAAGCAGAGAGATGGCAACTGTAAGAAAGAATAAAAAGGAAACGCTCGAGATCAAAAACACTGTAACAGAAATGAAGAATGCCATCGATGGGCTCATTAGGAAACTGGACACGGCCAAGGAAAGAATCAGTGAGCTTCAAGATATGACAGCAAACACTTCTAAAACTGAAATGCAAAGAGAAAAAGAATGGAAAAAAGGAAAATAATATCTAAGCACTCTGGGACAATTATAAAAGTTATAACATAGATGTAATGGGAATACCAGAAGGAGAATAAGGAAAGAAAGAAAGGAAGAAATATTTGAAGAAATAATGGCTAAAATTTCCTCAAATTAATGACAGATAGCAAAGCATAGATCCAGGAAGCTCACAGAACACAAAGCAAGATAAATATCAAAAAAAACCTATACCTAAGCATATCAAAATTAAAAGTGTTATGACAGCGCAAGAATGAACAGATAATATAATGCAACCAACAATAGCCTGGAAATAAACCCTGTCACTGTGTTCTCGAACACTGGTAAGGTCTACTGACTCTGAGGTGAAGTTTTTGTGAATCCATAGTGAACATTTTTAATGACTGAAAACCTGTTCAAGTTTAAAGAATGAAAATTAGCTTGGCTAAAAAGGAAAAACCAGCTCTGCTCTTTTCACACTGGGAAGTAAACACAGATAAAGCCACATGAAAAGTTAATAGGAAACACTGTTCCCCCAATTTTTTACAACTGTTTAGCAGTTGTAAAATGTCCCCTCTTTGAGTGAATATTGCTTCCTCACCAATGACACCCCGGATCCTCTTTGCTACACCCACCTATTTCTAGGGAGACCCAGCTGCTAAACTGCCCTCGCCTCACGCCAGCACCCAATCCCTAGTTAACCCCACTTCTAATCCTGCATCAGAAACAACAACCAGTCCAGAATTTATCCCTGCTTTTCCTAGGTTCCCTTCAGAGTGCTCAGTGGGAACCTAATCTTACAAAGGTCTCTTCGCCCCTTCCCTTTGTTGATATTGGCACTCCACCACTGCTCTGGAACTCACTCCCTCCTGCAAGTCAGTAAGTCTGATTTTGTCAGACTCTAGGTTTGTCTCTACAAGACTTTGGCTGATTAGTTGTTAACAGTTTACAAAAAAAAGACAACACAGTCTTTTTATAATGATAAATGCACTCAACGCATAAGGCTGCCTTTACTCTGAGATAATGCCCTTCTTCCTCTTTGAGTGACTTAGGATGTCTTACAGTTTATGAAATAATGGCGACGCACTTTAGTTTTCTAAGCAAGGACACTAAAAATAAACAAACTTGGCAGTTCTGTTTAGTCCACAAATGTTTTTAAAATTTTAATAGTTCATGAAATTTCAATGTTTGAATCACTGCTACAAAAAAGCAAAAAAATAACGAGGAAAAATGATGTGACATGTAAAAGGTAGTATGACAATTTAGGGGGGACATGCTTTAAACATCATTCCCCAACATTTACCAAATTAAATTCCAGATATTCTTCTTCCAAACCTGTATTTTAAAAATGAAAACATTGAAAAAGAGGACACAACTAAAACTGACTACCAAAACAGTAATGGACAAGCACTTTCTAAGCTTAAGAAGGCTAGAAAGAAATTACTTATTTTTGTTACTTTCAGCTTCCGGAACGAGGATGATTATATTACTTGCCAGGCCTAATTCTCAATGAAACCCAACTTCAAAGACAGATTTTCTGCAACAGTATCCTATCCTGGGACTGATCACTGGGGCCATGACTTCTATGGCAAGTGAGGCTATCCAGGGAAGACTGAGGCCTGCAGTGCCCAGATGCTGCAGTAGTTACGAACCACTGAGGCTACAGCCATCTGTACTTGCCACTGCCTCTGAAAGTTAGACTCTTACATGCAGTCCATAGTGACCCTGTTGAGACAGAGGCCTGTCACAGCAATTGGAGGAGGCTCTATCTACCGGAGATTCTTGGGAACCAAGTGGAAACTGAGCCATCCTACAACACTGAAGAAAGTACTGAAAGGGTCCACCCTTAGACTGGTCTAATGAAGTCTCAGAGCTAGAAATTCAGACCATAAATTCTTGAAATAATTACTAGGGGCACTCACGTGGTGACAGTGTTGAAGCCACACGCCTTCAGCTTCAAGAGGCTGTCCCTCCAGTACTCCCTGGGCACACGGAAATAGTGGATAGTACCTGCGACGATCAGGAAAGGAAAGCCACCTAGTGTGAAGTTTGAGCCCTCAACTTTTAGACCCACATGGCGGTTCCTCATGTAGGAGGGAGTCAGGAAAGTTTGATTCATCCTGCAAGGACAAAGGAAGTGTGTGAAGTCCTAGAGATGTTACCTATAAGACACACAGGATGGGCAAATCAGAAACGCCTTTCTTTCAGGGGCCCAAGGCACAACTCCAGTGCAAAGAGAAACTTCCCAACCCTTCTTTCTCAAACATACCTGGGTGAGAGGTCTCTTCCAAGTTGAGCCATTACCAATAACCCTGAAGACATGCCCAGGAGGCCCACAAGTCTCACCAGGAAGGTCTGCATGCTAAACAGACAGGATGGAATGGAGGTCAGACATCCTCGAGGCAGGGAGAGAGGCAGGAACTGAGGGGGCATTGGCCTTAGAGGATGGTCAGGAAGTTAGAGGTGGCCTCACTGGAAGGCAGAATTCTGTATAGCTGTCCCTTTGACCTCTGCACCACCTGGACTCATGACAGACAGCACCTCAAGGCCATGTCCACTAACGAGGGAGAACAGCTGCATGGAAAGGTCTCCTGCTAAATAATGAGGTTTTCAGACATCAGTTACATTTTAGAGAAGATCAAGCCTCAAAGAAGTTTTACAAAACAGAGAATAATCTCTGGGAAATTTGCCAGAGACATTTAACTGCTACGGAATGGACTCGAATAATTTGCTGCTTAGCAGAAAACACTGGCTGGAATGTAGAAGAACTGCCTCTGCGGGGGCAGGGGGACGGTCCCAATTTTTATCTCCAACCCAGTTTTCCACTTCTCTGCAACTGTAGGATGCCATCTCATCAGTTCCCAGAACACACTTATCATTCGTGTGACCCATAATTTTCTCTATGCTGCTGGCCCTGGGGCAAATGCCCTTTCCTTATGTATCAAAAATTTTATGAGTCCAAGTAGGCTGAACCAGTGTCACCTAACAAAGCAGGGCGGGCTGCACCATCTCAGATAGGGGAAGCACGATGCACGGGGCGTGGCTGTGTCCCCACCACCCAGGGTAGCGCCTCAGTCACAGGAGGTGCTCAACAGACGTCTTTTGAACACATGCATGAGTTGCCAGAATCACTAACACATCTATGTCGCCTCCATACACTTCAGCTTTACTATCGGCCTGATGAGTATTACCTTAGGCAGAGCTGGGATGAGTAGAAGTTAGAGAAATCAGAGGAGAAACAGACGGGGGCCTGGGGATTAAATCGGACAAACAGTGGGGGAGAAGTGCGCGCACAGCCCTCGGGGGTGATTCGAGGGACAGGCAGCTTCTCACTGTGGGCTGGAAGAGTCCGGGGAGATGAGTGAGCTCAGAGGACGCTCAGAACTTTCCGGGAGATGACCAAATGGACAAGGCAGAACCTCAGGGAACCTGAACGAAGGGCCCAGAGAAAAAAAGTCCAGAACATGAGGCGACTTCACAGAAAACCCGAGGGGGCCATCTACGCGGACGGTGCGCTCGCCTGTGGAGTGGGCCCAGGGCTGGGACGGAGCCCCCAGTGCGGGAGGTGCTGAGAGGTCCCGGGGCCGTCGTGCGGGTGTCCGGGCTCCGCGGGGCGCCCAGGCCGGCGCCCACCTACCCTGCGCCCGGCGACTCCGCAGCAGGCTGGGGATCCCGCTCCCGCAGCGGCCCTCGGCGGGGTAGAAGAGGCTGAGCCGCCCGGCGCTCCGCCCGGCAGACCCGCCCCCTCCCCGGTAGTCCCCACCACCACCCCGGGGGGCCGATCCTGTAGCAGACGCGCTCCCCCGCAGGCCCCTCGGGTCCGCAGCCCGGGAACAGCGCGCGGAGCGCGGAAGGGGCAGCAGGCCCGAGGTCCCGGAGTCGTGCCAACTCACGGTTTGGGGCGCCGTCTGGAGTGCGTAGAGCTTTCACCACATGGCCCGCCCACCCGCGCAGCTAATGCGGAGGCTGGACCCGCACAGGGACGCCCTTCCCGGCCGACACTGCGCAGGGCCACCTCGGGGTCAGGAAGCCGGCGCGACAGTGAGGCTGGAGCTCTCGCTCCGCGTAGTAGCGGACGCCCCCTCCGGAGGGTCCAGGCTTGGGCGGGTCCTCCCCTCTCCACGGCCCACCACGGCCCCTCCCACCACGGCCCACTTCGTTCATCACTGCCCACAAACCCCATTTCCCGCGTGCCAGGGGCTGAGGACACGCATGACCAGTAGCCCTTCCCTCGGAGACTGGTTGGGAATACCTAGAAAGTCCAGCTTACACCCTGGGGAGGAGGGCCGGTGTCTTTTACCGGACCTACCCTAAAACTAGCACCCTGATTCAGCCTGGAGCAGTGGCTCACACAGCTGGTGCCGACCGGCACGGGTGAACCTCGTCAAAATGCAGATACTCCCTCCCACTCCAGACCTACAGAAGCCGAAACTCCGCGGGTGGGGCTCGGCGCTCCGTGTTCGCGCAGGCGATTCTAACGCAAGCTACAGACGGGAACGACAGGTCTACAGCTCCTCTCCCCTCTCCCCTGCCTTTCTCCGCAGGAGAACCTGAGAGGATACGGGGGGAGCGGGGGTTGCGTCTCAATTACCTTCACCGGCGCACCTCACCAGTGTGGTTGTGATGGCCCTTCCTTCAGCTTGGGAGGTGGGCGACCGAGCTCCGTTTAAAATTCTCACAGCTGGGTCTATATATAATCCAGATCCAGGCTCCAAGAGTAGTTAGACTCTTCATAGCAAATTTATCTGGAACTGAAAAGAAAACACCATAAATGGCCTGCCAGCTCCGTTCCCAATAGGTTACCCTCCTCCAGAGGCAGCAGTACCGGAGGTAGCTACGTTTTGGATAAGGCTGTATTTTCCAGCAGTCAACCTTTACTGTATCTTTGTGGATCTTTCCTTCCTCTGCCTCTACTACTAAACAACTGAAAGTCTGATTGATGTCCAGGCAGCTTTGCGATTGATTAGTTATCTCCCATATTGATATTCTAATTGCAGAATTGCACTTGTCTTACATCTCCCTCTTTCTCCTTGCTTTTTAAGCCTCCTTTCTACTCTCCAGGCTGCTACTCAAATACATCAGAGGAAAAAATTCCTTTGAAATCCACTCCACTAATGGCATCTGACCTTTTCTGTAGTTCTCTTCACTTCAACCCATCATGTTGTTTCAGGCTCTTTCCCAACAACTTCTTTTGCTACTTGCCATTACCCATAATTTGCAGGGGCTGTACTTGCACTTTTGCTGGTGATCTCTCCTTTTCCCCTACTTAATTGAAGTTCATTTATTTATTTTAGCAAGAGACTCAGTCTTTGCTTTCCATTCCCAGACATCATCCTCTGTGACATCTACATCCAGGACAAGGACCCTTTTAAATTCCAGGCATGTTCCTCACACTGCTTCATCTACCAAATTATATAACCTCACTCACAGTCAAACTATTTCATCTCCAAGATATAAGATTCTAAAATTCTACTTTCTGGCCACAGTCCTTTTTTTCACCATATTTTCCAAACATCTCTTCAACAGTCTTTGAATTTCCAGTCTTCTAATCTCTCAGTTTCCTCAGTTTATTACACTTGTTCTGGCTTCACACTGTGTTCTGCTATTTCAAAAATACACGTTCTTCCTTGTCAGAAAGTGTTCTTTCTTTAACCTCATGCATTCGTACTTTGATAAGCCTCAGACTTTGATAACAAACCAATCTGCTTTCTCTTTCCTCTGCCCTGAGCTGATGAGCAGAAATGGATAAGGTCATGAAATGAAACTTAGCCTCAGGCAATAGGGTTTCCTGTCTTGGGCAGTGCTTTAAAAAGTGCCTATATTTTTATATATATTAAGAAGTATATGGATGCTTTGTCATTCAAGATCCCGTGCTGAGTATTGGTAAACATAACCCATAAACTGTAAACCCTAAATATCTACTTTCTTTGCTAATACCTTTCAGGCTCCATAGAATACTTCTCCACATCTTTTGCCGTTTGTCTTCAAAACAAAAGATGACTGTATCTGAATGTCCTGAAGAGCTGTGAGGAGCCTGTTGCCAAGATCGGAGAGAGGTAATGCTTCAATGTGCAGGAGAATATGAATGGTGGAAGTGGTTAGGTAAAAGAAGACAAGTTAACCTGTTCAATCCTTCCACTCGAGTATCATAATTGCAAAAGGTGCTTGCATAATGAAGTTATCATTTCCAGTAGTGCTCAGCATCCATTTATTTGCTTTTATTCATGTTCCATTCATGGTTCCATGTGATATTTACAACTGCTGCACATGGAAGCTGAAGAGTATCTTAGGATATTAAACAATTCACATTACTCTTATATTTGTATTTTTTTGGATCTAGACAACGTATATGAAGGGTAATATTGATTATTTACATTGGCAAACAGACCCTGAACACCATAATTACAAATAATTTAATTTTATTTGTCAACGACAAAGAAACAATATTAAGGGCAGCTAGACAAAAGCAAAAAATAACGTACAAAGGAACTCCCATCAGGCTCTCAGCGGA